GATTGCTCCATAGGGTGTCCAAGGCTGTGTGTGTTTACAGAAGCAGATGATCCTGTCTACCACAGAGTAGATGGTGGGTTCAAACCACCAACCTTCTGGCTAAGAGCTAAATGCTTTAACCACTGCACCACTCCAAACCACTACCATCGAGTCAATTCAGAGACTAAATCTTCATAGGAGGAGACAGCTTCCTTTTTCTCCCCCAGAACAGAGCGTGGGTTTGAACCACTGACCTTGCAGTTAGCAACCCAACTCCTAACCCATAGCGCCACCAGGGCTCCTGATAAAATTGGGTAGGTAGTGAACTGTGGGCTTGACACGGAGCATGTGTTGGGTGGTGGGCTCAGCATGGCTGGGAAGGAACCAGACCTACTTTCAGATCTCAGTTCTGCCTTTTCTAGTTGGATGGTCTGGAATGAATGACTCTAAACCCCAGTCTTCAGCATTTGGGATACAAATCGCCACTTACAGTTTCAATATGCTTTTGGGATTTTCTTGCCTCTGACTCTTAGCACATGTTGCTCTACTTGGTCCCAAACCTTTCCATTCCTCTCCCAACACACCCTCACGGCACCGGCTGAGTGTCAAGCTCCCAGGGACACAGTATGCACAGCAGTCATGGCCACAACGCTGCCCCCACCCCCACCATCCCCCAGCACCTGTTGGGTGTCAGGCTCCCAGGCCGGCTGGAAGTGCAGCAATCTATGGCTGGCTATGATACCTCAGTGACTTTTTCATCAGCTGAGGCTCTTCGGCACAATGAGTGGCATTCTGGGAAAGCAACTTTAAAGCAATGTTTCAATTGATAAAACAATCATTATTGATTTTTTCTTTTGGAAACAAAGGTGCAGAAATAGCAAAGCAGGGCAGTGTTAGTGAGGGGGACATCCGAATCCTTCATAAAACAACAACAATGGCATAATAATAAGCGTGAGCACACCCTGTCTGAAACATCACCACTTCATTGTCAGAAATTGGTGTGGTCTTTTCCTGCTGACCTAGTGAGAGGGGAGTCCACTAGAAACTACTAGAAATGGTCACTTAGCGAACACCCTTAGCAGGCTTGGGAGCTAGTGTGGACTTGGTTCTGAAGTCCTGTTGACTCAAGACCCAGGAAGCCCTGCCGAGAAAACCTCTTCTGGCCACTAGTCTGGTTCATATGGCACTGATTCTAAAAAAGCAAACTCAACACACGCATTAAATGTCCTGCAAACCCTAACTGTCCACTGTTCATTTATTTGACTGAGCATGTGGACTGCCCTATCTGGGGGAAGCTTCCATCTGAGGAGAAGCCCCGGAGGCAGCTGTGTGGGTGACCTACTGACTGGACTGCTAAGTTCTGGGTCAGCAGCCTGAACCCACCAGCTGCTCCGAGGTTGAGAGATGAGGTTTTCTACTCCCATAAAGATTGACACCTCAGAAACCCTCAGAAGCAGTTATACTCTGCCTAGTAGGGTCACTGAGTCAGGACTGACTTGATGTGATGGGTTTGAATTGGGCAGTTGGGTCCAGTCAAGACACGTGGTCAAAAAACGTCTCTGAGTAACATGTCAAATCCTCCTATAGATGGTGTCTACTGATGTGATGCTGCAGGCTAATGCACTGGATGGCAAGGTAGGTTTGAACTGCAAGGTCAGTGGTTCAAGCTCACCAGCTGCTCCTCGGCAACCCTACACAGGGTCGTCATGAATCAGAACTGACTCGACAGCATTAACAACAACAACCCATCAGTGGACTTTGTGGACCAGTGCAGCTGGATTTGCATTTAGCAGCATCTCTGAAATTAACACTATCTTCTCTCTTCCACCCATCTCCTGCTGCCTACAGAGAACCTGAAACCCATGCTGTGCAGTCTCAGCATCAACATTTACAAAACATACTCCAAACAGCAGGATGCTCCCTCTCTGAAGTGTGCACTGATACCCCATAGTAGCGAGAGGAGCCCCGGGATGCAACTCCATAGTCCCTTTCAATGTGTTCATGGAATCTGAAGAAGGCATCTGCAACACCCACAAGAGCCCACAGAGGCTAGATTCTCTGTGACAACACAGGTTAAAATCAACACTGGTAAGTAGAAAGGAAGGAACGTGTGAAACATCTTAGCATCCCATCCGTGTACAGTGCTGGCCTTTATTCATCTACACTTTTGAACTACCACATGACCAGTTCTCAGAAGGCCACTCACAGCTCTCCTCGGACTTTCCTCTTGCCACCGGACTGAAGGAATAACTTTCTATAGGACTCTGGGGTGAAGGGATTGATGTTGACCAGATCCAATGAGGTGGCCTCATCCAGGAAGGACACAGGTGTGAGCCTCACGTTCTTGGAGCCCCGGGAGGCAAGCTTCCCTGCTGGAGAGGCCACTGTCGGGCTAAGATGCCTCTGGATGGGATGACAAAAGGAAGTTAGGATGAGGTTAGTGAAGTCGAATGAATATTTAAGCCAAAGAGTAGTCTTAATGATAGGGGTCTTAGAGGTCATCTGATTTGGTGCCTACTAGTTGTATGGCGGAGTCCTGGTGTGGTGCTGTGGGTTAATGCACCAGACTGCAAAGTCAGTTTGAACTGCAAGGTCGGTTGTTCAAGCTCACCAAGCCGCTCCTTGGAAACCCTATATAGGGTCCCTATGGGTCAGAATCAACTCGACAGCACTTAACAACAACAACAGCTGTATGGCAGGGGCTCTGGTGGTATGTGGTATAAACATTGGGCTGCTAGTTCAAGCCCACTAGCTGCTCCATGGGAGAAAGATGAGGCTGTCGGCTCCTATAAAGATTTACAGTCTTGGAAACCTTACATAGGATCGCTATGACTCAGAATCGACTTGATGGCAGTGAGTTTGGGGTCTTTGTTTGTTTGTTTGTTTGGTCTAATTGTATGGTGATTGGCCTTCTTAAAGAAAATACCGATTTCAGCATTTACCTCTAGATACTGTGAGTAATGAAGGTAATACAGGAACATGAAGTTTTGCTAATAAGCTCCACTCCCGCCTGGGAAATTAATGGCAGTTAGGAAGACCACCAATTCTAGTCCTACATCCTGCTGTTAAAGATGAAGATATTTAAGTCTGAAAAAAAGAGTCACCAAATGACTAATTCACAATGTCCCCTGGGTGCCAGAGGAGAACAGTGATCCACAGGGTTCTCAGTGGATGAGTTTTCATAAGCAGATCCCACTCATGGTGCCCCTGTGTGTGTGTCAGAGAAGAACTGTGCCCATAGGGTTCTCAGTGGCTGAGTTTTCATAAGCAGATCCCACTCATGGTGCCCCTGTGTGTGTGTCAGAGGAGAACTGTGCTCACAGGGTTCTCAGTGGATGATTTTCAGAAGTTGACCATCAGGCCTTTCTTCTGACAAAAGCCTCACTTTCACATGTTGGATTTTAACCTCTAACCCATTTTATAGACCACTGGTCCTTTACTGCTAAATTTTACATTCAAACTTTCTTCCATGTGTAGTCTGTGAAATCTTTTCCTTTGCAAAGTGATGGTTTCTGAGCCATTGATGAGCCAATGAGGAATGGACTGTCGGTCCCTGAGTGAGAGCACCTCATCTCCGCGTCCTCAGATGCAGCCACCACCTCCCGCTGTGTAGACTCCAAACCAATGCCACCAAGTGACTAATGGAAGTTAAACTTAAGGGACTTAAAATATTAACTCTGACCAGGTTTTCCACAGGGTCATTTTCATTGGTGGAATCTACTTCTGAAAACGCATCCACTGAGAACTCTGTGGGCACAGTTCTACTCTGACACACACGGGGGCACCATGACTGGAATCTACTTATGAAACCTTATCCACTGAGAACCCTGTGGGCACAGTTCTACTCTGACACACACGGGGGGTGCCATGAATGGGATCTACCTATGAAAACACATCCACTGAGAACCCTGTGGGGCACAGTTCTACTCTGACACACATGAGGGCACCATGAGGCAAAAATGGAATTGATGGTAACTGGTACTGTAAATCCTGGTATGGCACTGCGGGATAAGCACTGGACTGCTAACCACAAAGTTGGTGGTTCAAACCCACCAGCCAAAATAAAAGAAAAAATAGTAAGTCTTTCATTCGGAGCTTAGCAGTGGCTGAAAATAGAAAAATGAGGCTTACCATTCCACGTGGGTATAATCAGGGGCCATAAGTCTGAATACTAACCAAAGGGCCAAGAGGAAAGATCAAAGAGAGAAGTCTAATGATGCAACAGAACACCACCGTGACCTAGGTCCAGGGGGATCTGCATTCTCCGGCGCTGCTCTAATAGAACTACTGACTACAGGTGGACAGCCTCAACCAGCAGAAATGCATTGTCTCCGTTTAGGAGACTACATGTCTGCATTCTCCATCGGCTCTGTAAGACAGTCCTTGTCTCTTTTCAGTGTCTGTGGACCCTGTGTGCTTGGAGACCTCTGTGTGTCCTGGCATCAATCTTCCCCTGGATCTAGGAAGTTCCCAGCACAGGGACCTTGGGCTCAAAGGATGCACGCCACTGCCAACTCTTCTTGCTTGGTGGTAGGTCCCTCTGAGCTCTGCCTGCTCGTTTAATCTCTATCATAGCTCAAAAGAGATTGGCTCAAGGTACAACCTCACCCGATAGATTGTGCCCAGTAACGTCACTACCTCTAACCCTGCCTCACTAAGCTCACCAATGTAATGGCATCCAATCAAAAAATGGAGACACAATGACACTTACTTTTGAGGGGGAGACACACTTCAATCCATAACAAGGGGCCAGAAGGATACTTGAGCTATAGATCTGCATAGTTCAGATATGTAGCCAGGTCATGGTGGAACCTCACAGTATAACTATATCACTGTGGAGCCATTCCAAAGGGAAGGTATTGGGGGGGCTTGAAAAGGTTGATGGAGAAATGGAATCAAAAGACAGTGGAATTTTTCCATGAACTTTTTGAAGCTTCCTCACACAGCTTTGATCAGCTCTGCCTGGGCCTTCCCAGCGTGACTTCAGAAGCTGAAGGTGGAGCACAACCTGGTTCACAGTGTGAAAATGTAACTGGAGGTTATGAGTCTACAGAGAAACTGCAGAGCTTGTGATAAATCACAAAAGACGGTAATGAGAGCACATCGGAGGGAGCCTACAGAGCACGCTCCAGAGCCTCTGTGTTGAAAAAAAGGACGAAGACAAAGATGGCATTGCTGGAGTGTAAGGCTTTTACGTGGGTTTAGACTGGGCCCTCAGTGGTAAGCTAGCACACAATGTCCCTGGGCTCATGATAAGGGCTGACTACGCATTCAAAATCATAAACGTGGTTGGTTCAAAACAAGTAAAACTATGCTGTAGTTGGAGCCCTGGTGTGGTGCTGTAGGCTAAGCATTGGACTGCTAACCACAAGGTTGGCAGTTCAGATCCACCAAGCACTCCCTGGAAGACCTATGCATAGTCACAATGAGACAGAAGCAACTCAATGGCACTTCACATTGATGGATGGGGGCATCACTGGCTCACTGGTAGGTTCTCACCTTCCACATGGGAGACCCAGGTTCAATTCCCGGCCAGTGTGCCTCATGCACAGTTCCCCACTCAGTGGAGACTTGAATGCCTCTAGGATGCTGAACAGGCATCTGGTGACTACGATCAGGAAGAAAGGACTGGTGATCTACTGAAAATCAGCCAGTGAAAACCCTGTGGCTCACAACAGTCCAAGCCACAGTGAATCATGGGATGGCTCATTCTACTGCTTATGGAATGGCCACAAGTTGGACAATACCCTAACACCACCACCTCCACTGCCCTTGTGCTGTTCCTTCTCTTGCTGGGCTCACAGTGACAACCACACTTTTGCATAGAACAGTCTCATGTAAATGGCACGGTTTGTATGCACACACACATAACACCCAGAGTGCACACAGGAAGCTAATGTTTGAGAGAGTTGCATGGTTTACAAAAGCCATATAACATATCACACTCTAGCCCACGTGACATGTGGAGGCTGCAAGTTCTTAAAATGCCCTGCCCACATCATTTGATGGCTCTGCCAACAGCTTCTGGAAAACCTTGATCTAGCTCCACCCTATCGACTTCCATCTCGTCCCTTGCATACTCTGTGTGCTGAGTAGTATGTGGTTTTCCTGCCACAACCTGATCCCTGCTGGTCCCTTTCCTTCGAGTTCCCAAGGCAAATGTCAACTCATCATTTAAGGCTTTTCTCAAACCTCACTTCCTTGGGAAGACTTCCACAATTTCTTGAGAATTAGTTCAAAATTCTTCCTCATCACCTGCTACCTCTCCTCTGAGGCACAGAGACTGAACTTCAACAATTATTTCACTTACTTGTCTTCATCTACTGTAAGGGCATGTTGGGAAGGCAGTGAATGGGTTTCGCCAGAAGAGGGTCCGCTGGCATATCATGGTATTCTGTTAAAGTGATGGATGGATGAATCATCCATTCATGGATGGATGGACGGACAGATGGATGGATGGATGGGGGTGAGAGTTAGTGGGTGGATGGGTGGGTATGTGGATAGTTGCATGGATGGATGACAGTGTGGATAGGTGGGTGGGTGGATGGATGAGTGGGTGGGGATGAGTGGATGGGGGCTAGGGTGGGTAGGTGGTACGTGGATGGATGGATGGATGGATGGATGCATGCATGGATGGATGGATGCATGGATGAGAGGGTGGGTGGGTATGTGAATGCATTGATGGATGCATGGAGGGATGCATGGATGGACGCTTGTATTTCCTATCACAGACATCCTCCACCTTTCTTTCCCTATCAGTATTTGTTGCTGTTGTTAGGTACCACCAAGTTGGTACCGACTCATAGTGACCCTATGCACAACAGAACGAAACACTGCCCAATCCTGGGCCAACCTCACAACCGTTGCTATGTTTGAGCCCACTGATGTTGCCACTGTGCCTATCCATCTCGTTAGGGATCCTCCTTTTTTTCTCTGACCCTTCACCTTACCAAATATGATTATCATTCTCCAGCGACTGGTCCCTCCTGAAAATATGTCCAAAGTATGAAAACGAAGTCTGGCCATCCTGGCTTCCAAGGGGCATTCTGGCTGCACTTCTCAGTGTACTGACAAGTAATCCATGCAGAAACCCCTGGTTTGTCCCTCTCGAAGCACATCTCCTCTCTGCCGTGTCATAAGTTTTCGAGAGCAGAGATTACCTCTAGTGCCCCTTGACAACAGTTAGTTCCCAAACATTAAATGGGTCCAATTAGACAACAATCCCATGGATGATCAATTGGTTGGTACTGGAACCACTGAGAATCTGCAGACAGACGTATCAAAACAGCTTGTCTAGAACTCACACTAGCAGCCCAGTATCCCACGACAGAAGCGGTGCTGTATTCAGCAGGCACTAAGAGGGCACACTAGCAGTGACTATGCTGTAATCAGATGGCAGATGCTCTTGTGATCATCTTGGGGGTCTCCTGCTGAACCAACAGGAAGGAGAGCTGGTCCCAATCCAGGGCCGACACAGTATGGTCCAGAGTCTATCAGAAGCGACCCTGTCCAAACCCCCACATCAATACAAGGAAGATGTACTAGAGGACCAGGAGCAGCGAGAACAAAGGACGTGCTGAGGGCTCGGACTTCTGTTCACTTGCTATCTGTGATGGATTGAATTGTGTCTCCCTGCCTGCTCCCCTCCCAAAAGCCCTGTACCTGTGAATGGAACCTTGTTTGGCAGTAGGGTTAATGTAAAGTCATACATGTTGTTAAGTGCCATCGAGTCGGTTCTGACCCATAGTGACCCTGTATAGAGTTTCCAAGGAACTGCTGGTGAGCTTGAACTGCCAACCTTGCAGTTCAAATGGATTTGCAGTGTGGTGCACTAGCCCACAGTGCGGGTCCTAATCCTGTATGATTGGTGGCCTTATTAAAGAGAAGAGACGCACAGAGAAGCAGAGGGAAGACAGCTGTGGGACAATGAGGGCAGAGATTGAAGAGCTGGAACTACAAGCCAAGAAATGCAGGGATCGCTGACCATCACGAGAAACTAGAAGACATGAAACAGAGCCCTCCTCAGAGCCCTGCCCACACCTTGACTTTAGAGTCCTAGCCTCCAGAACTGTGAACCAATAAAGATCAGTTCCCAGAAGCCATTCGGGTTGTGGTACTTTGTTATGGTAGTTCTACGAAATGAACGCCACATCTTCAGTTTATAAAGAAGCATCAAGTCACCTCTTCGCTCATACATAAAGGGGGTTCAAAAAGTCCCTGGAAACATTTCATATTCAATTTCACTTTCCCAGAAACTTCTGAAGACCGATCATGTATCAGAAGTGTCTTCCATCATGAGGTGAAGGAAGAGATAGAATGAGCAGGTACAAAGAGATGACTGTGTTCCAACAGAGGATGTAAGCATTCTGGAAACATAGAATAGAGCCAGCTGGGTGGAAAGAAACAACAGATTAAGTATAGCATAGAAAGAAGACTATATAATAAGCATAAAAAAGAACCAGAATAGAAGCGGCAGAATTTGGGGTTTCTAGGCATTGATCTAGCAATAGATAACTTCATCCCTTGGGACTTTGATTTTTTTCATCTGTAAGGCCCATGGTTTAGTTCAATCCCCATTTTCCTTCCCGTTTCCATATTCTTTAACAAGGAGCTTTTCTCTATCCAAGAATTATTTGAACTTCCACTGGTTCCAAAGATTTGGAGAAGACATTTAATTCTGTTTTCTGGTAACCAGACCCTTCTTAATTGTCACCAGTGAGCACATTGTTGAGGACCCACCACACATTAGACAAATGTATCACATACCTGCTGACCTTCTCCCCCATCGCTCACTCACCTTGGGTGTGACGGGGCTGCCAAGATGCTGTGATGCTCTCCTTTTGTACACCGGGGCTGGTGTTTGGGGACAGGTGAGAGGGCTGGACATTGAGGTCCTCCACACAGAATCAGGACTCATATCCTCCTGCCCCTGACCCACATGAGGTCCATGGGTGCTGCGAAGGGGAGTCCTGGGAGAGCTGACCCAAGCCTCTTCTTGCTGTAGGTCCAACCTCTCTGGGGTCTGGACCTGGACCTTGGGACTTTCTGCTGCTTCCTCGTGTTCTTCCTTTTTCAGCTCGTCCTCACCACAGGAGAAGTTTAGCTTCTGCTTCAGCTCTTTGTTAATTTCACCATCATCCATCTCCACGTTGAGTCAGGAGGTCTATCAGAAGGACAATGCAGGGTGAGTCTCTAACTTCTGCAGCCCCTTCCACCCCAGTTACACGGGGCCCCAGCTGTGTCTGTCCACAAGTACATCTTCTCTCCCTCCACAAGACCAGCTCATCCTCATCCCTACTGTGCTGGAAGGAAGCACCAGCGACTCTGAGCAACTAAGTCCAATCTCTGTGTGGGTCTCTAAGTAGCTCACAGTCTCCTGACCCCATGCACAAAAGACCCTGAGGATCCTGTTATTTAACATGGCATTTAAAAGACTTGGTCAGTCTAGGAGCGGAGGTCCCTAGGACCATCAAGGGAGAAGAGCGGAGAGCGGGATCCTACCCAGAGAAGCAGCGATGCCTGAAATAGAGGCAGAGATGATGATGTGGAGTGATGGAGCAGCTGGAGACTTTAGATCCAGAGAGGGAGAGCGACTGTGTGCTGAAGACCTGGGGGGTGGTTACAGGGGGCAGGATTGCAGGGTATACCCTTTGGTTGGTTGATGATGCATGGAGGGGATTGTAACCATGGCAATGAGACGATATATGATAGAATGAATGTAAAATTAATGTTCTCCCATGTAAATTCTCGTATAATTCACAATAAAACATTTAAGAAAAAAAGACTTGTAAAGAAATGATTCAATGATTCTCACTCTTTTGTACTTACCATTTATAAATAGCACCCCCTCTTTCCTTCTACATCCCTCCCACCCAATGACCGAAAAACCCATTGCTTGTCAAGTGGATTCTGACTCACTGTGTCATGTAGGGCAGGGTAGAACTGTCCCACAGGGTTCCAAGCTTGGAACCTTCACAGAAAGCAGACGGCCACAATTTTTCTCCCAGAGAGCAACTGGTGGGCTTGAATCACCTGACTTTTCAGTTAGCAGCCAAGCAGCCGAGTGCTGTAAGCACAGAGCGAACAAGAGGTGATTAGAACTCAGCATCACCTGGGTCTCACAGCGATCCTCAAACCGCCTGGAACACATCATGGCTGGAGTTTATGTCCCTACTGCAGAAATACCTTAGATCTTTGCCAAATCCATCTGCCCTAATTCAGATACTGGACCCCCTAGTAAGAGCAGTTAATACTTTTGGAAATCGGGTGGATTTTGAAAGTGGCCAAAGAAACGCCAGCAACACAGAGAAGTGTCAGCAAACAACAGTTGCTTTGCCAAAAATGCCTTTAACTTGTAAAATGTTTTGTATGCTTATCTTAAGGAACCCTGATGGTTAAGTGCTGCAAACACCAAGATGGCGGTTCAAACTCACCAGCCAATCCTTGGGAAAAGGAGTCAGTATGGCCCCATCAAGATGGACAGAAACCCCAGAGAGCTGTTCTGCTTTGCCCTACACGATCTAAAGGGGCAGAATCGACCCCATGGCTGTGGGTGGATGCTTGTCTTCATCATTTGTCACTTGTATTCATTAATTCAGTTCCTCTTTCTCGTGGAAGCCTTGTGGTGAGGGGTAAAAGCTCTTTGAAGGAGAAGCAGGACAAGGCTCAGGCGGCCCATGAAAATGGACAGCGGCAGACAGGAGACCCCCAGTATCGCTCAGGGAGGCGCTGAGAACCACACTGGAGTCCCATTGTGACTGAAACCAATTCCATTTCCATTGCTCCCTTGGCCATTATGTCACGCATTTTCTGCCTCTTCACCAACCTCTGCCCTCTCACCCCCATCTCCCAAACCAGAACTCCTGGGGGCTAACTCTATGAAGACCACCTCAGGGAACATGAGTGCGCCAGGCTTTAGGTGTGCTCCCCACCCTCTCCTGGCCCCTGCCTCTCACACAAACTTTCCCAAATAGGTCAACATAAAGTAAACTTGCTCACAGCCTGCGGTCCTCCACTGCTCACTCTGTCAGGGGGCCAGCAACCCTCAGAGGCCGGCTGAGATGAAGTCACCATAGGGAGAGGGTTTCGAGCAGGCGCCCGGGGAGGAAATTAGTACTAGCTGAGACGCACGCTCAACCGTGTTTCCTGTTTTCTGATCAGCAGGCCAGGTGCAGCCAGTCTGTCCCCCAGCTGGCTGGAGCTGAATGACCCTTGTATCTAGAGTAGCCAGCCCTGCTTCCCAGAACTCAGGAGCAAGACCTGAGGCAGGGCCAAAGGGAGGCATCATGGCATCACCCACGTGCACCTAGTTGTTACCTGACTTTCCTCTCCCTTTGCTATAATCCTCCATCTCCCTCATTTATGACCACATTGTTTGCCTAAGGATGCAACTTCACCCACCTCTGGTGGTGGTCCTCACACCTTGTGGTGATCCCCACCTCTTATGGTGGTCCATACCTCTTGTGGTGGTGGCCCCCACCTCTTGTGGTGGTCCACATACCTTGTGGTGGTCCACACCTCTTGTGGTTGTCCATACCCCTTGTGGTGGTCCCCATCCCTTGTGGTGGTCCACACCTCTTGTGGTGGTCCACACCCCTTGTGTTGGTCCCCACCTCCTGTGGTGGTCCCCATCCCTTGTGGTGGTCCCCACCTCTTGTGGCAATCCTCACCTCTTGTGATGGGCAGTAATTCTGTCAGAACCTTCCTGCTCCTGTTCCCACGTGCTGTCAGTCACAGGTGACGTTTGTGGGTAAGGGTTCTGAACTGTTGTCATTGAGTCATCTACGCCTACTCATGGGGACCTTGTGTATGAACCCTACTGCCATCAGAGCAAATCTGACTTACCAAGATCCTACAGGACGGAGTAGAACTGCCCCACAGGGCTCCCACAGTTGTCTTCTTTAGGGAAGCAAATCTCCAAGTCTTTCTCTTGAGGAAACCACCAAACCCCTTTAGTTAGCCTTTGAGCACTTAACCCCGGCGTCCCCAGGGCCTATGTAAAGCAGAACCAAACGTGGCCCGGGCCCAGGTCCTCTTCAGGACTCCTGTGTGTTACAGTCCATGGTGGAGGCCATCGCATCCATCCATCCTGGGGAGGGCTTCCTGGCTTTCACTGACCCTCCATGTCAGTCCTGATGTCCTTCCTTGTCTTAGCACCGATCTTTCCTTTGGTCGTGGACTCTTGGTGTAGCGCTGTTGGATAAGCAGTGGACTGATAGCCACAAGGTCAGTGGTTCAAACCCACCAGCCGTTTCTCAGAAACCCTACACAGAGTTGCTATGAGTCAATCTTTCAAATTTGTCAGCCCAGATGCAAATTGAAGAGGCGTAATGGGAAGGGAAAGGCGCTCTGGTAGAATAGTGGATTGTGAGCTGAGCTGCTAACAGCAAGGTCAGCAGTTCAAATCTACCAACCGCTCCACAAGAGAAAGATGAGGCTTGTAGCTCCTGTAATAATTTACAGCCTCAGAATTCCTATACAGAGTCGCTGTGAATCAGAACGGACTCAATGGAACACAATCACCACCACCACCAGAGGGAGGGATGTGTTGATTTCAGATAATTTGGTTACTGGGGACATCTCCTGGTGTGACACAGTGGGACACTGAGCTGGATGCAAGGTCGGTTTTAACTGCTAGGTCGGCTGTTCAAACTCCCCAGCCGCTCCTTGGAAACCCTATACAGGGTCACTGTGAGTCGTAACCGACTCAATGGCACTTAACAACAACTTTCCTGGTGTGACACTGTATGATAAGCACTGGACTTTCAACCACAAGGTCAGTGGTTCAAATCCACCAGTTGTTCCTTGGAAACCATGTACAGGGTTACTATAAATTGGAACCGACTCGATGGCACTTAACAACAACATTCCGTCTCATTAAGGCACCCTGGTGGTACAGTGGTTACAGTGTGCATCTCCTAACTGAAAGGTCAGCGGTTCGAACCCACCAGCCCCTCTGAGGGAGAAAGATGTGGCAGTATTTTTCTTAAAAGATTAGAGAAATCTGTTCTATCAAAGATTACAGAATCAACTTGTAGGTAAAGGGTTTTATTCCATTTTGTTCATCCTCACACCATTGCTGACCAAGCTGGACCACACCAACAAGTGTCTACAGTCCAGCTGGTTAGGGAGGAAAGTCAGGAGATATTAATGCAGCGGGCTGGTGTTTATTCAGGTCCATGAAATAAGAGTCAGTAAGTTGGGAGTCTGGAGCAGACCAGCTACACCAGCTGTCTCTGGGTCCTCTCAGGGGAGCGTCCATGTGTGCAGAGTACAATGGGCTCCACAGGGTTTTCAATGGCAGGCTTTTAGAAGCTGATCACCAGGACTTTCTTCTGAGGTACTGCAGAGTGGACTCACACTACTAATGTTTTTGTTATTGTCCAAGAAATATGTAATTCTTACACAATTTGATGAAAAGTCTCACTTGTGGGGGGTGCACTGGGTAAAATGATTGAAACCTTCACAAGGAAAAATGGTTTATTTTTTTCTTTAGAAAATAAAGATAAAGCAAGAAAACTATTCCTCTTAAACAGAGAATGTTAAAATATATATATATGGTTATTAAATTAGTTTGTGGGTTAGACATTGAGCTGCTAACCTCAAGGTTGGGGGTTCAAACCTGCCAGCGGCTCCTCAGGACAAAGCTGTTGTTGTTAAGTCTGCTCCTGTAAAGATTTAGTCTCAGAACCCGACATAAGGTTGCTACGAGTTACAATGGACTCACTGACAGTGGGTTTGACTTTTGGTTTTTAATGTGCACATAAGGAGCCCTGGTGGTGAAATGGTTAAGTGTTCAGCTGTCAATCAAAAGTTCAGCGGCTTAAAGCTAGCAGCCACTCCAAGGGAAGAGAGATCTGTTCCCATAAAGATGATAGTAGGACAGTTCCCCTCTGTACTAGGCATTGGAATCGACTCTGTGGCACAAAATAATCCCGTAAGCATAAAGGAAGATCTTTGTTGTTAAGTGCTGTCAAGTTGGTTCTGACTCATTGCGAACTTGAACAGGGTTTCCGAGGCTTTAAATCTTTGTGGGAACAGAAAGCCTCATGTTTTCCACTGGAATACAGATTAATAAATACCAATAATTCAATAGCATACTTTAGAAATCATAGGCAGGAAAAGAACAATTCAATAAAAGAT